ATCATCTGTGTTCAGGAAGTCTGGTGCTTCTTTAAATTAGTGGGCCTACAAAGTACATATTATAGAATTCATCTGTACCTGTCAGCAGATAAGATCACTGAGTTATATTGTTTCTGAAGGGTGGGTCCAGTCCTTTGAGGATGTCACTGGAAGACACTCCCTGTCCTCTGCTCGGAAACCCATTCCCCTGCATCAAAAGGACCAAATTTTCTCTGGGGTTTGGAATTACGCAGCAGGATGGAGTAGGTGAAAGCAGCTGAAATGAATGAGAGGCAGGTGTGGGACGTGGGCTGGGACACTCTTCAGAGGATGGAACTCAAGATTGTTCTAAGGGTACAAAATATTTTGTGTTTGAAAACAAGCAGAAGGGAAAGAAAGCACAACTACCAGTAACAGAAGCTTGACAAATCCAGACTAGAACAAGATTCACTGGGTAGGAGACTTTGGCAAACATACTAGACAACTCCAGCCTTCAAATGATTCATCCTTTAAGCAGGCAGGAATTTAATACAGTAGTGGTAGAGTTTGTACTTTTCCTCTAGAAAGATGAAACAGACCCTAAGGATGATGATGATAAGAACAAAGCTCCTTCTGAATTTGAATTCTGATAGCAAACCTGAAGTTTCCGTACAGTTTGCTGTCTTGCATGAAACTAAACCAAAGTCTGACCAAAGAAGTCCGAAGAGAAGAACCTCTTTGCTGTTGTTGATAGGAAGATGAATAGCGTTCTTTTGTGAATTTCTTCAAATGCCCCTCTAGCTTCAACAGAGAGAGATCCGGCTCAGATTTTAGTCCTAAAACTTCTTTACTTTCAGATATTCTTTCTATTAGATAATGCTGGTCAAAGAAATGAAACAATTTTTGTCTCATTTAATGGATGCAAATTAAGTCTTTCCTCAGATTCTGATTGTAAATGCTTCTAAATGACTACCATAAGCCTGTGCAGGACTCTACAAATGATTATTTCCTGCTGCTGGAGGAAGAGGTCCCGGTTTTTCCAGTAGCCGACTGACTTGATAAAAGCCATGTTACTATGTTTATTCCATAATGGACTCTTACTGGGTTTTCAGAATCTCTCTTGAACCTTCAGAGATGCTAAACGAATTGTAAGTTGGGAGTTGTCTTGAGGTATACCCAAACAGATCCTTGCTAGAGAAATAACTGGGGCATTTGGATATTGTTAGTAATACAGCACAAGAAAAAAATATTTAAGAATTTGCAATTTCCTCCTGATATAATCAGCGTATATTTGTGCTGATACTTTTAAAAGTATTCTCTTATTCTGACTATGCAAAGAAAATATTCTTCCGTGCCTAGACTCCTTCAAGGTAAGTGATGATAATGGTGTCATATTTTTCGTCTTAACTAAGTAGAGGTCTGATATCTGAATCATCATCACATATTTCTTGTGCCATTTCTGTCCTGTGCTTCATATTTAGAAGCATAAATTAAATTTCTCTTACTTTTTTTTTTTTTTTTAAATCATCTGGCCTCATTGGAGAAGCAGAGAAAGAGTAAATCATCTACTTCACTTTAGCATTTAATAAAAATGCCCAGATTATTTTTCTTCTTCTAGATTTTATTTCAACAAAGGCAAAACTTTTAACATGATTTCATTGTAGCTTCTGAAGATAAGAAAATGACTTGAACTAAAAAGGTGTTAATTTCTACTGTACTTCCAGTTCCCACTGGCATTTACAGAAGCTGACACTTCTTAGAATTAATATTCAAAAAAGGAGTTCTTAAAACAAGCATAATAAATATTTCATATCCCTTCTTGTGGCCAGATACACACCCACCATGACATAGGGAGATGGGTGTCCTTCCACCTTGACAGGTGCAGTATGTATGCAGATTATATCCTGTTTTACATCTGTTTATAAATTGCCAAACATTTGCTCGTCTTTGTTTTTTGTGATGGGTCTTTAACTTTTCTGCTTATGAGAAGCAGAATATTTGGCAGCCAACTATTTGGGTGGGTGGCCACATCTGCAAATGATACAAATTAATGAAGTTTCTTTGCCTTCCACAAAAAAAGGCCTGATTTATGGTTGTATTAAGATTCTAACGCTCACTGAAGAAAGTACTGTCTAGTGAGATAAATGGCATGGATTTCTTTCTCTAGGGTATACTGAAAGGCCAATACAAGGCCGTATTTTGAATTTTTTCTAATATTACTAAATTAATATCAAAATGGACATGTTTCTGCTGAAAAACCGTACAAATGGAGAACACTGTAGATACTGCACTTCACTCTTGAGGCTTAACTAGAACAGACTATTAGTTTGAATATCAAACCTTGAATAAACTAAACAAAGGCAAGGTTTGTTTTAACACCTTTGTTCCTGTAAGTTTTCTTTTTATGACCATGTAAGCGTTTACGCACGAAAAAAATGATTTCTGGCTAATGATCCAAAACACAGGGATGGGCACCTATGTGAGAGCACAAAGACTGCGGGGGAATGGCCCAGCCCTGTCCAGAGGGACATGGCAGCGGTCGGGCGCCTCAGAGCTCTGGCCACGTGCCACCTTGCAAACTGACGTTCTGCCACAGCGGTGGCCTGCCCAGCAGGAGCGTATTTCTTGGCGGGTCAGAGGAGGATCTCTGCAGACCTGCCAGCTGAGCTGGGTGCTGATGTGCCAGAGGTCAAAGAGCCCCCGGCATGTGTCTCGGGACCCCTGAGCGTGGCTCCCAGCACGTGCTCTGCTCTGTCCCTCAGCATGCAGAGTGCAGGTAACCCCTCAGCAATTTAAACTTTTAAATACTAATAGGTGGGTAATGAAAATCCTCATTAGACCATTAACATGATAACAGCTGAGCCCCTGATTGTGGCCAGTCAGTGCCAGCAGAAAGTACTGGTGACATTCATTTTAAAATAAGAAAACTAATAGCAGAGACTTCTTGCTAGGAGTAGAAAAACATTTCTTTGCCTTAATGTTGTACCGTACATATTTTTCCACTTTAATGATAAGGCTAGCCAAAAAGCATGAAGCAAGTCTGTAATTAGCTCCAGCTCTGTAAGTATAAATCCGTATGTTAGCCTTTAAAAAAAGATCCATTTTGTGTTAAATACATTAAAACTTTCCCATTAAAAACTGAGCGCCCGTGGGTTAGTTTGACCAAGAAAAACTTTTGGAGCATTTGCTTGGATCTGGCTTAGTGTTCTCCACAGCCCAGTGTTCACTGCGAGCGTTACTGCCGGTTATTTCACCCAGCCTCGTCACAACCTTGAAGCCCAGAGTGATTTGATTAACAGATGATGAATTATGCTAACTTGAACTGCGGCTTGTGGTTGAAGTCCCAATGCATTATTACTTTGAGTCTCAGCAGAATTCAAGTACTTAGCCGTATCCGTCCTCAAACTAGCCTAGTTCAGATTTGAAGCATTTCTTCAGATCAGTTTAGAGATATCTGTGAATGGATGTGAGTTGATTTAGTGAAAATGTATACACTTGTAACTTAAGCTAATACTGCAATGAAGCGATGTCAAATGAAGATATTAGTAAGTCTCCCAAAAGTAAGCAGCTCATCAGAAATGTTCACAGAATTACTGATCTAATTCAGCTTGCAAGACCTAAAATTTTTCATTCTGAGGTGTCTTGAGTAATCATAAAACAGGCTTCTACTTTTTCTTATTTACACTAGAAAAATCCCCCAAAGCATCCGTAAGTGCCTATTCCTCTGAAAGTGCAGACACTGAAAGAAGAGGTGTCTGTGTGTAACAGGGGATACTAAAATATGAATGGAAGGTTTAATTATAGCAGAGCTATTCTGTTGAAGCAGAGTTCTCCATATTATCGTGAATTTCTGAGCTCTTCTCAGAAGCTGCAATACTGAACCTAATTTATTGTTAGCTTCCTTTTGAAGCAGCTAGATCATGACTTAAGTTCTCTGATTAACTGAGTTAGCTGCCTGTTGGGTGCTCCACAGTTCTGCCCTACGGTAGGATCCGGGAACTGCCTACTATATTTCTTCATTTGTCTCAGGAAGATATTCAGTTCTTCTGCTTTTTCATTAGAGGTAAGTGTGCAGTGAGGGGAAAAAAATGCTGTAACAATGAAGAAATATTTATAATTGTGTTTTATAAGTAATTTCTATCACCTTCTTGACTAATATTCCTTGCATCCTTCATATGCTTAATTTTGCATAGTATTGGTTTGCACCCCTTACTCTCCCTGTGTTGTTTACTCTAAAATTAAAATATAAGTGAGTGAGAGCTTATGATTGCTACCCTGTTAATTACCACCCAGGCTCAGCTTGACTGAACCGCGAGAGGTGGGGAGAGTAGGCTAGAAAGAAAATACACAAAAAAGAGATGGTCATATTGCCATAAATACCTTAAAATGCCTGTTGAAGCACATGAAAATGAATTCTGTTATGAAGAATATTGTACTTCACAACCCATGGTTCCTGCAATTAAGCTCCTGCTTTCTTTCCAAATCTATTTATAGTTCCTAGATTATCTGACGCCTTTATGAAATTGTTTAGTACCCATGGTTACCAGACACGTTTCATAAACTAACACAATTCTTGTGCTGTGATAAATCAGCAAGTTCATCTTTTCCTTGCAATAGTTTTCTGCTACAAATCCTCACAGTTATAAATAATAAACTCCAAAATTATTTAAATTATATTTGCAGTAATCTGTATTTAACATTACTGTTTCTGCATGGCTTTACCTTTAGCCTGGTTTCATGGCACTTTGGAAACATAAATGGTCTTGGTCTGCTTTATGTTCAGCTGAAAATTATCAGTCTTTAGGATATACTATTTGTGAGTAGATGAGAAAAAGCTGAAAAGCCTTTCTGAATAAATCTAAAATGGAAACTCCACCTAAGCCATGTTGCACAAATAAAACTTCTGATTTGTTTTCCTTTTCTATTGCAAATGTCAGCGGACAGCAGATTTTGTAGCTCTAGCAATGGTAGCGTAGTGGTCCTGTGATACTTACTTATCATTCACACTTTCTCAATGTTTCATTCTTTTCCTCTGATGATTCAGGCAGGGTGTGAAATTGAAGCGGGGATGCTGTGGATTCGCTGTGATGTGAGTATTCACCAAAAATGTTACTACTATAAAAGAATTCCTTGTGAAGGGTTGCAAACTCACATAACTAGCATAGTACAATGAAATTAAAACTATTTTTTCTCTATCCTTTTCTTTCTGCCGTATTTTCTGTCTCCATTTTAATGCTTGAAACTACTCTCTGTTCTTTCTTTTGTCCTTCTTCTTCTTTGCTGCCTTTGACGTCTATCATACACACATAAAAATTGTGTGATGGTAATGTGAGGTATAGTAAGAAAAATTAATATTTACAAACTGCTGGTTTTATCAGCTCCTTTCCTGTTTTCCTCTGACAGTCCTCTCATAAGTGCCATGTATATCTAATTAAATCAAGTAACAAAAGCCAACATGACACTCATATGTGTGAGTAATTAGCGGGTACATTCAGATTGCCAACAGAAGTGGGTAATGTTTTGGCACTAATGGGCCATTACAACGATTGGGCATTATAGTCTCAGCACTTCTTTTGTGTGGTAATGTTGTCCTGTGCATTTTCTGCTTTTCTTGCTGACAACAGCTTGAAGCAAAATAGCTAACCCAGGTAATCTACTTGATCCAAATTTGCTCACTAAGGAAAAACAAAAGGAAAAGGGAAGTATTTGGGGTAATACTAATATTCAGATGTAAGGTTAAATCATCTAAGGCTTTTATTGGTTTCCATTGTAATCACTCTAGTTGTTCTTAAACAAAAGCTTACAGGAATCCATTCAATTCACAGGAGAGCTACAAAACTGCAATGCGTGTATTCTTATGCACTGTTTATTGTGTTACTGCAATTTCTCTCCCCTTCCAGATGTGTGTCTTATACAGTAAATACTGCAATTGGAAGCGTTTCTGAAATGCCTATTGCTCATAACTGATTTCTAGAAGGAAAAAAAAGTGAGTGGTAAACGGTACATAGGGAACTTTATCTGTAAAGCGTAGATCCTTGTTTCAGTTCCTCAGTCTTTCCTAAGCAGTGCACAGAGACTGATAAGTGCAGTGATATTATTTATCAATAGACAAGAAATAACTTTCTACTCACTGCTGTCATCATTTATACTGTCATCGTGAACTGGGGGATTGAGGTATGGAGAGAGTGGTTAGTGTGCTGACAGGAGGCAGTAGTTGCTTCTGCGCTGGCTTGGCCTTTTTCACAGCCCACCGCGTCCTGAGATTTCCAAGTGGCAGCCCTCCCCTCCTCCTGGGAGGATGGGGGCTGGACTGCACGAGTTATTTTGCAAAGACTATGCAGAACAGCTTCCCATCAAGTACAACTAAACAAACACCCACTGTGTCTGTATAGGGTTGTTGAGGAAAGGAAAGACTATTTGATCTTAACGTTGGAAACCTCCTCATACCTAGAAAAAAGGATTTTCCCTTCTCTTTTTAGCCTGGCTTTGATGCTTAACAAACTTGGCAGAGGTAAGGCATGGAAAGTCTTTCTGTGGGAGGAACATATCAGATGTCTTGAGAAATAAGATGCCAACAGCTATAAGCTTCAGTCCTCATCTTATACCTACCTTGAGAACAGCATGTGAAAGCAGACCAGAGCCATTACCGTAAGCGTGTGTGATATGCCTAAGCAGAGGGTGGGCAGTTGTTCAGAAAGCAAAATGCAGTGAAAATGGATATGTTCACAAGCCTGTGTGATTGCACGCTGTTCCTCACCCAGTCATGGCATCTCTCTGACATGGGAAACAGGCAGCCACGTTTGACGAATTAGCGCACACTAAGCCCGTCGAGGAGGCTACAGCGAGGTGCTGCCTGACAGCTGATAGCTCCCAGGTGAGGGGCAGCAAGGGCTGGCTTCCTAATCCACTTCCCCAGGTGCAATTGTCCAGCACTCTCAGCCCATTTCAGCCCAACTGGGTACTGAAATCGCTGCTGACTCTGTCCCATAGCAGGCCCAGCATGCTATCACAGCCTTTAGCAGCTAATGCACAATTTAGGAAACTGTTCTTTGCTTCCTCCTAGCTAAATCTTTCGTCTCAAACTCAAATTCTAAGTTATCCCAGACTAGAAGGTTTTTGTGTGGATGCTTAGGATATGCTGAGATAACTGAGTACGCGTGACCTAATACACTGTTGACGATTTGAGCTCAGCATCTGTTGTGTAAGCTGATTGGTGTGTGTTGACCTTCTATCTAGTGTTAGGCTGAGCTAAAAGATTCATACACTGTGCAGATTAAGACAAAGCCAAGAACAAGCTTTCCATTAATGTCACTGGAAGTCTGTCCACAGGATGATCATGCGAATGTGATGCTTCTCCCCATGCATCATTTACTCTTTTCTTTCAAGACGCTCATGAGTTTCATGTGTTTTTTGTTTCTCTATGATTTATGAGAAGTATCTGCTTCACACTACTCAGTCTCTAGACATTGTTCTTTTTTCCTATCGTTGTCATCTGGGTCATGTGAAATCACTGCCATTAGGGACCTAGATGACTGCAAAGTTTTTTTAACTTTTATCATTTGAACTGTCTATCTAGAATGTAGAGTGAATGATTAAACTGCATTAAGGATGAATGAAACTGTACTTATAATCAGAACAACAGAAGAAGCAACAAGAGATGCAGATAATACTAGAGAAAATAGATGATAAATTGGAAGAGAAGAACATGATACCCACTTTGAGTATGAGATTTTGGATCTGTAGTGCTTTGTGGTTTAAAATCCATGCAGGCAGTGCAACTTGCTAGTGAATAAAGAAGCCCTTGACATTTAAGACCTATTTGTGAACTTTGTATGAGTGGTGATATGAATAATACCAGGAGCAACTCTGTTTATCTGCAGAAATGAACACAAATACCTTTTCCTTATTATAGTAAATGTAAGTTTTAATTGTAAGGGGTTTTTTTGTACGTGACATGCTCATCCGTGATATGTTCATGTCTACGTCCAGACACTCATAAAGGCCAGTCCACTTTCAAATAAGCAATACCCAAGAGAATTATCTAAAATTTTGAAACTGAACACACTGGAGTGTCAGTTTACTACTACTTCTTGGCTTCTTTGCTTTTGCCTTGTCAAAAATAGTGAAATAGTAGGGTTCAATATGTGTAATCTGAACTAACTTGTATGACTTTTAATCAGCATTTTATGAAAGAGAGTAATAATAATTGCCTTATTGTATTTGTTAGAATTTGTAAAGATGTTTTTGAGACACTTTTGCCCTCAAATGAAATTTCTACATTGGCAACTGAGGTTTTGTGAATTGTTTGTAAAGCAAGCTAAAATTCTTACATCTCTCCCTTTTTTTTTCCTGTAGAGATTATTCTCTCTTGGTTTTTTGTTTGCTTGTTTGTTTTTCTTTGAATGTAAGTTCATTTTAAAGCCAGGTTTTTCCAGCTGCGTATTGGGGAGGATGAATCCTGAAAGATTGACTAGTTCACACCTGTTACCTACATTTACACAGGACTCGTTGCAAAGCCCGCATACAGCAATGGAGATTGCATAAACTGTAACAAAATTCAGCTTGGGTCAGCATGTTGTATTTTTAGCAGAATGCTCTTCCTCCCTACTTGTTTTTTCTCACCATTCAGTTTCTCTTATTTGTTTTTCTAGACTGCGTGACCTTTGCTTAACTTTGTTCCCATTTTGGTTTCTTTTGAGTGGGTGTTGATGCCAGTAAAGCTGGGTTCAAGCTGATCTTTTAGAAGCAGAATTTGACTGGGTTATGCATTAACTAACATAAGTGCATTTATCTCTTATTTAATATGCTCATATTTAAAGTGAAAGTCTTAAAAAAGTCTTTCGAAGTGATATGAACACTTTTGTGACTGGATTTAATAAGAAAAAGGAAGAAAAACACCTAGAAGACTTTTCTTTTCAATTGTATAAATCTAAGCAGCTTCATGTTATAAATCATACTACACAGTACTACAATTTCGTACTATAAATCTATAAAACATAAATTAAAAAGGCAGCCTGTGGCTGCTTTACTGTGTGCTATGATCACATTTTTCAGTCTTTTCTCAGTAAGAATTTAAGCTTCCTGTTAAGGTTTCTTGTACTAGTACTACAGAATGTGTTGGCAGTGATTTGGTAAAAGGCACTCTTCTTTCTGGCCTGATACTACCTGATACCACAGGTCAGTGGTCAAAAGCAGAATTGTAACGGTGGGCTGTGCTAACAGAGGGTGTATATCATGGTCTGCGGATGATGATAATGGCCTTGATCCACCGCCCTTGCAGAATGCACTTATTTTGGTGATGTTTTTTGCCTTTTACAGGATTTTCAGCTGAAAGATTATGTATGGCATTCCACTGGAAGTTTTGAGTGTTGATCATGTCAATAAGGTCTGGCAACGACTGCATGCCAGAGCATGGTCTTAGATATCGTCAGCAAAGAGTGTGAGCTCCCCACGGAAGAAAGGTAATTTGCTTTCCAGACATGAAAATGCAAGAGGTTATTTGCTATTCTAACGGAGTATTTTATTGCACTGTTTTGTCATAGTAAGTCTTCATCCCATCAGATGCTGATCTTCCTCTCTCAAAAGCTTCCCACCATCTGAGACATTGACTGCATATCTTAAGTCTCAGTTATCTTTATATTAACTATACTCTCTGTATTGTTAAAGGCCTGGACATCTTTTAGTCTAGCATCTCTTGAATGTGCTGAAAAAATATACCAAAGGGGACTTTACTTCAATAAGAATGAGTACATGTTTCTTCTTAAATCATTTTTTCAGTAATTTGTCTTGAGTTTCCTCAGCACACTCAAAACTTTTTCCTAAGAGGAAATCCCCTTAATGAAGACTTCCTTACTTTGTTACAAACTCAATTTTTGTTCAACACTGGCTATATCATCTATATTATACTGCCAAAATGTTTTATAGCAGAAATGGGTTTATTGCAATATCTGATCTATTTTTGGCATAAAAGCACGCTTTAAGTGGTCTCATGTAGCCATTATAGGAAGCAGATGTTTCCTCTGCCACTATCCATGCTAGGTAATATAATGTCAAGTGCCCTCAGAAGTACCTAGGAAAGAAAGACAAACTGATATTGAGGAGAGTTCACCCCTCAGATATACGGGTGCACACCCAGGCAGCGGTGGTTTCAATAGCTCCAGTCTCAGAGGACTGAAAGTCTCCTCAGCTGAGGCAGATCGTTAGAGCAGCTTTTATAAACCTAGTCTTTTTGGATCCAGACTTCAGCTGTTAATTTCTTTCCCTCTAGTCTCCTGGCAAGTGATGATGAAGGTATGAACCTGACATTTGTCATATTCGCTGTGTAATTAAATCAAAAAGAGTATTTGCATGATTATAACAAAAATACCCATCTGCTTGACCCAGTGTTCATCTGAAGAGCTTTCTGTGGAAACCTGGCTGCTCAGCCTTTGCGGGCTCACGCTAGTCTCTCCAGGGAGACCCCGAGTCCTGACCCTTCTTGTTGCTCTCCTGGCACTGCCACGAGGGATCCCAGTCTGCCAGGAGCAGTGACACCACTGACTGTGCTGTGCTACTTGCCAGCCCAAACTGACTGCTGCCCCAAGGACAGACAATGTTCTGCCCCCCTCCAGGCAGGCAGGTGGGTGGTATCATTAGATTTTGATGCCTTTGTATTGATACACTGTGTTGTTATGTTCTTAATATATATGTGCAGTATTTCATTGTTTGCATGACTTTAAGGAATTAAATATGAAGATGAATGACAAAATACTGCTAATCATTTAAGAAATCCTTTTTGTTTTGCAATATTCCTTATTTCCCCTACATGCAATGTTCGGAACATGTCACCTCAGAATTCAGAATACATCCATAAGCAGTGCTTACCTCTTGTGTAAATACAACTGTACTGAGAAATTTGAGTTTACAGCTCGTTGACATCAATCTCATTTTAACATGCTGTTAAAAAAGTTAGTGTCAAGAATATTATTTATCTTGCCACAAGATCTTACAAGTGCTAAGGCTATTTCTTAAGCAAAGCCTGAAAGATATTTTCTCTCATTTTAAGTTGCAGTTCTACACAACTTATAAGGCTATAAGCTGTTCCTCTTATTCGTCTCCCCAGCCAGAGTTTAATCAGTATTTCAATCTCAAATAGAATCGAAAATAAATCTGAAATATGATTTGGGATACAGTTTATAGGAGAGAAGGGATGTCCATATATAGATGTGTGTGTATATATATGTGTGTATGTATGTGTATATATATAGGTAAAAAATAATACTTGGTAGAAAGGTCATCTTTTGTTTGGGAATGTACTTGTATGAAATAAACTTCTGGGTTCATAAGACTGTGTATTGACCCAGCTAGTTGGAATTTTACTACCATAAACCTAAATAGTTTAACACAGCTGTTTTTCCAAGAGTTTTCATACTTGCACTAGATATCTAGTGTCATACAGGATTAGATCCTATTTCTTCTTAACTTGTACTGTAGAACATTTGTAAACTGCTGATTTTGTAAAATGGGAGTCATTTCTGGAGAAAGACCGTGATGTTGCAAACAAAGAATTATGACTTCATGCAGTAGAAACAGTAAAAGAATCTGGATTCTGGGAGTCTGTATATTTTAATCCCTGTACAAATATCCAAAAGTGAGCAGAGAGCGAGAAGGGGAGAGCGGAGCTGTCCAAGTGAATTTCTTTTTCTGTAAACATCCACTTTACTTTTCAACGTTTGTTCCGGAGAGAAGGCTCCACTGTAATTACGGTAAGCTATAATATAGTTTTTAATGAGACTGAAAGGCATAAAAAGCATCTCAGGTACACATGCTGCACCACAGGAAGCCAAGCAGGAGTCAAATTGATGCTCTTCCTTAAGAGTTAAGTAGATTATATGATGTTCTAGAAGCCAAGTGCGCAGTTACTTCACTCTTGTAGCCAAAGATTGCTGCTAAAATCCTCTTATCTGATAGTATTTAAAGCATATAACATTTTGAGTCACAATAGACTAATACAGTTCAGAATGAATCTTGATTATTTTAAATGAATGATCTGCATCTGATAATTTTTTTTTTTGTTACTCAGTATGTCATACTTTCTTTACTTTAAGATCTCAGGCACTATAAAAATGTGTTATTGAAAATTCCGTATACTGATAGAGATAATATAACAGATTTTTTTTCTTTTTTTTTTTTAATGAAATATTGTCCTGGGGGCTTTGGCCTTTCCCTTATTATCATGAAGTATGTAGAGCTCTTCAAGATGACTGAGTAGTCCTGTTGTCCTGGGCACTGAAAAGCACAAAATCTCTGGCAATCACTTTGCCATTGTATTTAGAGATTAAAAGACAGGGCCTAACAAATGAGACAGATTCAGAGTCAGAAGAGACTGGATGAGATGCCATCAGGTAAAGCAGCTAAACAGTAAGTCTAGCACAGGTTAGCTGTGAATGAATTATTGGCCAGTCATCCTTTCCCCAACCTGTTTGCCAAGGTAAGATGTTGTATCATCTTTCAGGTACTATTGATTTGTTTGTTTGTTTGTTTGTTTTTACCTTGAATGCCTAATCTTGGATTATTTTTTGTTTTCAGTTCTAATTAAGATTTGTTACAGTCCAGTGTGCCTCCAGGAATGCATAGAGAGCATACTGTACAAAAGAAAACTCTGCTTGGATACCTACTTCAGTGTTTGTTCTCTTTATTCCCCTTTTGCCACCTGAATGAGCTGATTGTGGCAGCACGTGGTGATTTTTTTTTTTTTTTTACCAATTTATCAATTTTCTAATGTAAAAAACAGAGTATAAGGATTTATACGAAGGTCTTGGGATGACTCGACTATTGGCTTACATCTCTGTAGCAGAAGGCTGTGGTTTCCATTTCCACTTCACGTACTAGGCACATACCCAATGCTTGGCACTGTATTTCAGTGACAGGGAGTGTTTCGTTGTTGGAGATGTCATCCAGAAGATGACATGATGAACTCAGCTCTATCATTTCTCCATCTGGAAATGAAAACCCCAAGGAATACTTCAGAAAGAGCAGAAGTTTATTAGGGCCCTGCCAATCGTTCCTAAAGCAACTCCTGTTTCCATGGCAGTGTGAGTGAGAGATGTTGTACAGTACAGTACAGTACAGCCATGTTTCTGCCTGAAGAGTCTCTGCAGCATCACTCTCTACATCATTTCCATCAGTGCACTGCATCTGTTGAGCTATTTGTAAAACAAGAACTCAACTAGCAGAGCAAGAATTTTTCTGCTGCCTCCTCTTCCTACCTTTGAAGTGGCTTATTCTTCCTGCAGCTGCAGGGTGAAACACAGTTGTAAGAGTCAGTGTGTGGCACCACTGGAGCCTTTAAATGCATCTGTCAAGGGGAATCCTCTAGCTGATTGCACATTTTTCAGTGATGCAGAGATAGAAATTCTGTAATTATGGTATATGATGGAGACAGTCACAGGAGACCCATGTTGACAATTCATAAATGTAGCAAGGACAGATACTGGATGTATCTAGGAAAAATAGAAGATGTTTGTGCATTAGCATATTCTATTTTCAATCTATATTTAAAAAAAAAAAAAAAAACCTTTTCCTAAAGTCTACATAGTGGCTGTCACCTGTGTTTGTTCTTGTTCAATGCATCTAGGCTATTATTTTTTTTTCTGAGCATTTCCATACTTCTCTGTAATCTTATTAAGGTTCTCTGCTCTTGTGTCCTTTTCCCCGCTACAGCTTCTCTTTGAAGAAAGAAAGAAAGAAACTTTCAGCTCGTTCATCCACATGTGCTGCTTCTTCCTTTTGTTTGAGAAATATGGAAAATATCTGGCCCTACCTTAATGGAAACTGTGATAGCTGAGGGCCAAACTTCAGCCCTGTATTTTCATTCTCGTGTAAGACCGACAGCAGGGAAGGCGTGCTGAGGAGCGAACCTGCACAGGTTTAGCCAGCTGATACCCAAATCCAAAAAGCCCGTAAATGAGGAAGGATTCTGTTTCTCATTTTTAAGTCACCTAAGATGCTATGACTTCTTTTCAAAAGTGATTTAAGCATTTCATGTATAAGATCCACTTTAAGTCCAAATCTGTCTTTCCTAAGTCACAACTGAAAATGTTACCTAAAAGCAGTGGGACTCTATACCGTTATTCCATTGGTAGTCTGAGGCTGCTTTTATGCTCTGAGTAGTCTAACTAGATTGTTTCCGTTTATAATCTCTATCTAATAGGTAATAGTGAACACTTATCTAAGTATTTTCAAAATTTGTTGTGAATAGCACTAAAGTTTGCATAAATGCGTTCCTACAAATTAAGCGTTCTTGTAAGTTTTCAAATATCTTTGCCTTCAGGGATTACGGAAATAACAGGCAAGTAACTATTTTTCTGGTGGCATGTCAGATTCTTCCATTTACACCTGGAAGTGTATGGGCAAGCATAGCTGAGAAAATTCTAAGAAATTTCAGGGTTCAGAAGCTCTCCAGATAAAACACCGGTTGTCTTCTGGCATGATGAGTAGCTGGATGAAGTGTGCCCTATTTCTTTTATATGTGTGTGTGCATGCACACATATGTACATACAGTATATAGCTGCTATTTGACCCTTCTCACAGTTAATCACAGGAGCAACAAACTTTAAAACATGGTCACTGTTTCTGTTCAGAAATGCATATAGAGATCACACTGTCATTGCATTAGGGAAATAGTTCGAGTGTGTCAGGATGATGGATACAATCTGCTGTTGTGGTTTTATAACATAGCAAATGTAAATATCCTCAGCAAAGCATGGCATACTGCTAATATCTATCTATACAAAAATACGGAGATTTAACGTGTCCTTGGGACTTATCTCAACCCGTCCAACCAATGTGCCAAACTTCTTCAGTTACTGTCTAGGTTTTATAGCTCAACAAGTGTTTATTTTCTTGGTAAATGAGCTACTAAGCAAAGTTAGTCAATAATTATACCTCTCTTTATTACAAATGTTCTGCAAAAGGGTTGATTAGGCTTTTTGAGCTCTGGTACCTTTGCATGTTAGAGCATGTGCAGCTGATGCTAGTGACCAGGAATACTGTGAAGTACTAGTCTTGCTGATGTCAGTGGAAAACTCACATGAACCTCTCTTAACCACAAACATAATTTTAAATAGTGGTTAAAAATGTATTTTAAAGATACGTTATGGTAGCCTATTATCCCTAGGCCAGAGGATAACAGGATCATACCAAGGATAGCAGCATAGTCTAAGCCCCTAATAGTCAAAAATTCCTGCCAGTCCTTTTGAGAACTGAATCTTCCTCTGCATCTCAGCTCAGAAATAACTCTTAATGGAGGCTGAGAAAAATGACTTCAACTTCTTCTGAAAGGAACTGGCAAGTGAGACAAAACATGTTGTTTTATATCATCGGGTAGAACAACTTACATTTTTTCAAGTAGTTTAAATTTTCATGTAATATAATCTTTGTCACTGCACTGCACCAACACAAAATTCAGTTGGAAGCCCTAAATTATTTGGTAAATTCTTCTTAAGGTCCTTAATAAAAATAAGAGAGCAGATATTTTCAAAAGTCTCATATATGAACAAAGTTACATATAAAATAGGCTGTTGTTAAGGATTTTAAATAGTTTTCTCCTTTAGGAAAAATGTAGCAGTTAGATGCTTTGCCTAAATTGTAGTGGTTTAAAACGCAAAAGAGCTCTATAGAATCTGGAAAGAAGCCACTTACTGATATTCAACATGGGATTCCCCAGCAGGGATTAG